GGCCCGTTGTCGCTGGAATAAAAGCATTCCCGGTGTGTGTCGGGGGACGGAGGGAAAAAATCGGTGACATGTCGGGCGGGGATCAATTAGTAGGTGCGCAGGCGCCGCGCGCCGCGCGCCGCCCGTTTATAGCTCCGTGTCAATGGGTTATGATGATTCTGCGACCGGCGGCTTGACAAACGGCCTCGTAAAACGCTAATGATGTCCAGTAAAAGGTTTTTAATAAATTGTTTTAGTCGTGGCAGTCTTATGGACAAACTTAAATAGGTGACGCGTCAACTATTGCGGTTTATGAGTAATATTTTCTAAAACAAGAGAGATGCAAGATGTGCTCACGTATTTGTTATTTAGTTAATTAGGAACTTGTATTATATATATATATATATATATATATATATATATATATATATATATATATATATATATATATATATATATATATATATCATCATTACAGCCTTTGTGTCCATTGCTAACCCACTGCTCTCTCCCCCTTAATGGATTTTGTCAATTGCAAATTTTGCTGATTGGGAACCGCAGTTAGGTTTTAGAGACGTTTTAAAGAGGATGATGTTGCCCATTTTTCGCCCTCCCTCAGTCGCTTTTTACGACACCCACGTGAAAGGAAGGGGTGGCCTATTCTATGCCGGGACCACACAACGAAAAATATTTTGAATACATGACATTAATTACCTGTCATTTAATAATAACATGTTGTGAAATAATCCAATGTACGTGCATCCAATAACTATGGTTTGGTACCCATGAAACTCAACCAAACTAAACCTTACGTGGTGATTTTAAAGTTGAAGATAGTAGAGGCAGTACAAACTGTAGCCAGTGTCTGAGGTGCTGCAGACATTCGTCAGAGTTTGGGATCAATTTACACTGCGTCAAACCAGTCCAGCTCGACTCGATGCCACACCTTCACAGGAAATCTAATTATACCGCAGTAATTGGCGTGTAATGAATAAAAAAAAATGTTACAGACAATTTTGATGGGCAAATATCGAAATAATTGAAACTTTAACTCGTTTGTTATTGATTATTTGTATTTGCATGTTACTTTTAACGTAGGCACGGAATTTAACATGTGATACGGCAAAAAAGAAAAACAATTTTTGTACCAAACCTTTCCTTTCCCGTGGGTGTCGTAAGAAGCGACTAAGGGAGTTTATGGTGATGGGATGGGCAGTAGCGTCTCTCTTAAAACGTCACCAAAAGTCAAATTGCGGTCGCTAACCCGCCTGCCAAGCGTGGCAACTACTGGCAACACCCTCTTTATCTGTCTTGTCTTTAATGTCTGATACAATAACTACGTAGTAAATGCTGTCATCCTAATAATTTTTATATTATTCTCAATTTATTGAGTGTATAAATAATGGGCATTTTATTTTTCTTTAGGAAGGAAAAATTTTGGATAGTAAGAATTCTGCAAAATTTTAAAATGCACCATCGCGGTGGGAGAAACGGGGCTGTTAGTAATGAGGTCTAACTAATTCATTACCAGCAATACATCCTATCGAATTGACCTCCACGCGGTTCCCCTTGGAAACCGTTGTGGTTAATTCTAGTTGAATTCGTCAGGATGGGTTAACTGATCTGCTTTCATCCTCACCTATCATCCCTCACTGGTGCCCCGCTAACGTATATCAATAACGCAGGCGGGTTTAATATTCCATAATCACTCATTAAAAAAATACCATTGTGGTTTTCCGCATTCATTACATTAGGTATACGGAGACTAGAATAAGCAATGGAACACAAATTAGGCATTTAATATTATTTCAGCCGTTAACTGTCCACTGCTGAACATAAGCCTTCCCCGTAAGAGGAGTTTTGTCAGTAGTTGCCACGCTTGGCAACCGCAAGTTGGGTTGGCAACCGCAGTTTTTAGAGATATTTTAAGAGGGACGCTGTTACCCATCCCTAGCCCTCCCTTAGTCGCCTCTTATGACACCCACGAGAAAGGAAGCGGTGGCCCATTTTATGCCGGGACACACATGGCAAAATTAGGCATATTTAAAATTAACATAAGTATATCTATTTGTTTGAAAGAAAGAAAGAAATAAAGAAATATCTTTATTCAAGTAAACTTACATTTAAGCATTTTTGAATGATAATTTTTTCATAACCCAATCGGAATGTTTCTATTTATTTCACCGTAATTTCATAATCGATATGTTGCACGATATAATTGTTTATATCAAATTTTTTCGAAAACTATTAGTTTTACGGAAAAAAGTAATGATATGTTTTTTGTAGACAATTTTATAAGCTACAAATTTAATAATCACTATTTTTTCAATAACTGTGACCGTTAACGAGATATTTGCGAAAAACTGTTTTTTGTGACGTTTGACCCCGAGTATTATATTTAGCGGCACACTCATCAAATGGGGACTTTTGTTTTGAACCACAAAAACAAGGTTCCTGCAAAAATCCAGCTTTCCCCTAATTTTTCCATAGTACAACGTCTTTATTCTCTGTACTACGAGTAAGTACTATGATGTCCAATTATTTTTTTTTAGAATCGAATGAGATTAATACATATTTGTATTGTATTGTATAAATTTGCAGAGACCATAGTGTTCTTTAATAATTAATTGCTGTGTTTACGGAAAATCTTCTACAATATTTTTATTAACAGGTATCATGAAGAATTACACGTATTTATTAATTATGTTAATGTAATGGACATTCGCCATCCGGGCGAAGTGGCGGGCGCGGCTAGTTGGCTAGTTGGCCAGTATATCTTTAGCGTTACAAACAATAACATTGCTTGATTAATGGTTAATTCTTCAAAATAATGTATCATCGTATTAATATCGTTGTTTACTCGCCGATATCGTTATCGCTGGCGTCATACTCCGCGGTTACGGTGACTCGGTGCCGTACGCACCAACTACTTACTACCTAAGTACTTGTAAAAAAAAAACTATAAACAACATTTTTCCTTTGTTATGAAAAAAGCTATGCGTGTAATTCGATAAATATTTGAGTATTTTATGTAAAATATTTGATTATTTATTGGGTAATTTTTTTTTTAAGTAAATTTAATAAAACATGGCGTCTGTCGGTTGTATACTGATATGTCTGTTAAATATATGAGCGCTTGCAATATAAAATGAGTGTATTTGAAATTTTAAATGGATATCGTGTAAGTATAGCAATATTTATTAGGCCAAAACAATACTTTGTTTAACATGTACTACTAATACGGAGTAGAGACTGTTTACTAGAGAAAATATATAGAGTCACATAGGATTAAATCTAAATTTGTATCAATACATAGCTTCTATATTTCGCGTTGCAAATTCTATGGTTTATAAGAATGTTAATTTACATAGTTGCGGTGCCCCTACGGGATTTATGTCATATGTACCTATTTTTTAATGGATGATAATGGAATGGTAACCCCACCCGCGCTATCGGTATACACCGGCGGAGCACCAGTGAAGGATGAAAGGTGAGGATGACGCCGGTCAGTTAACCCATCGTGACGAATTCAACGAGAATTGTTCACGATGGTTTCCAAGGGGAACCACGTGGAGGTCGACCTAATAAGGCATATTGCTAGCAATGGGGCTGTCGAACTCCGTTGCTAACAATCCCTTTCCCCCCATATGTACCTATTACACCATAACAACTAATCTGTACTATGTGACATGCAAATAAATATAAATAAATAAATAGTTTCTGCTATACAGTTTACGAAGTAAATTTAAAAATCATATTCAGTGTCTTACACTGTACACTGCGCTTATGAAGTATAGAGATGTGTTAAGAGTGAAAATTGAGAAATTTACGTTGTGATTTGAGATTCACTGTCTGGCATTGACCAACTGTGTCACGCCTGTCCAGTTTTCTCTTCTTATTTAAGAGTCTCCTCCTGTCGATGCAACTAATTCATACATTTTCTTCCAGCCACCTCTATCCCGAGCCATATCTTAGACCTTCTTATACGACATGACACCTAGTGCTTCCTTTATCTGTCCTGTTTGTGTTATTTATTGGGACAGTTAGTATTATTTGTCCGTCTTCCCTTTCTTTCCTCTCCTCTCTTGCCATCTATTTTTCCTTCTTTTATGCTCTATAAAAATCGTCATGTCGTATAAGGTGGCCCAGCATTTTGCCTCTTCTATTCTTTATTGTTTTTATCAATGTTCTTTTTTCATTCGCCTTTTTCAAGACGTCCTTGTTCGTTAGTTTTTATGTCCAGTTTATCCTTTCCATTCTCCTCCACGTCCACATTTCGAATGTCTGTTCTGTTGTTTAATAAAAATACGAAACTATCTTTTTTTTTAAAAAAAAAGTACCTACTCGATCTTTGTACTTGAAAAAGTTTAAAATGTTAAACCAGTTATCGAATTAAAACTTTTTAAAGTCAATGTTTAAGTAATTATGCGTAATTAAAAAAAAATCAATGCAATTATTTGTGAAAGTCGTTCGCGTACTCTAAAATAATGTAGCAGGCACGTACTGGTAAGTCGATTTAATCCGGGCATTTTAATCGAAAGTTATTCATCAGCGGATCGGTTTAATTGTGGCGGCGACAGGGCCGGGCCGGTGGGGCGGGGGCGGGGGGCGAGCGGAGCCAGCCGGGGACAGCAGCGGAACACGGAAAGGCTTTCCGGCGGCGCCTCAGAACCCCGCTGCCGACAGATTAGCCGGGCTACATGCCGCCTTTACTGTAATTATTAGCTAGTCCCTTTGTGTTTAAATGCCTAATTTATGCGTCTTACTGTATGGGTTTATGATTGTAGTGTTTACGTTTTCATATTAATCTAGACTGTAAAGAATCCTGTTAAAATTGTGGCTTATGTCATAATAATAAAAGGGATCGTTTGAATAAGCTGCAGTCACATGGGATCTCTGATGGTGTTACAATAATATTTGTTATACATTTTGTAATCCATATAATTTTCATTAAAAAATTCAATATATATATATATATATTTAAAACAGTAAAAAAAGTAGGTAATAAATTTTGAACTTACACAATTAAAGAAAACTCCTAACAGAGCTCAACTGCTTCCTGAAACAATAAACAGACAATTTATAAAACTACATGCATCTTACAGACATAAATTATACTAATTTCTTAGGAAAAACAAATTCTCACAAATAAATTATGAGTGTTGGTGATAGAAACGCTTGTGTGTGTGTCTGTTTACGAGTGATGCACTGTCCGTGCTACGGATTATTTATAAATTATACTGGGACTCCACAAGTTCTCATATGCATTGCAATATAGCTCCAAATATATTAGGTAGAAAGGAAAGTTCCAGTCTGTCTGGTGTCTACGATTATTTTATGCTCGGAATCCATATAACTATTTCAGAGTGTTTCAAAAATAAACTGACATTTTATTAAAAAATCTAGTTACAATTTATCAATAAAATCGATTTAGAATTATCCACTTCTTTGACTCCATGGAGAACCAAAATTTATACTAACAATTTATGTTTTTAGACAACCAAATAAATTTTATTTCTGACAGATATCGGAGAGTTAAAAACTAATAAATAAGGTAAAATTCCCCTAGCTGTAGGTCACGCCCCTCCTCCCTTCTGCCGTGCCCCCAGCGTGGCCCTAGTTCGTAATAAATTATGCTAATGCCGTCACTTGTTACAACACTCCTATTTAACTGTGAATTACGTCCCGTCCTGAAATCTACTGCATTTTAAATAATTAATGATTATATATTATAATTCTCATATATTTATTTGAATTAATAAATTTTTCTGCGACAACAAAGCTGTAATTAAATCATAATAAAACATTCTTGGCCTTATGGTCCCGATCATAGAATAGGACATCGCTTCCTTTCCCGTGGGTGTCGTAAGGCGACTAAGGGAGAACGAGGTATGAGTAGCAGCGTCCCTTTTAAAACATTTCTAAAGCCTAACTACGGTTACCAATCCGTCTGCCAACCGTGACAAATACTGGCAAAACCTCCCCAAGGGGGAGGCTTACGTTCAGCGGTGGACAGTTAGAGGATGATATGGTGATGATGATGATGATGAAAATATATTTCTTCTTATGTTAAAAATATACGTTCTTAAGTATGTTTTGTTCAGAAAATACATAATTATACTTTCAAATTTGAAATCAATTTGAAAGTAAAGTAATATAGTTTTGCAATGTTTTGCTTTATTTTGCAAAGAATAACTTTTTATGTTTTAACCATTACAAAATATATGTGTACATCAAGGGAATAATGCCTGTCAATAGCAAAAAGAACTGAACTGACATTGATAAGATTTCTACATATGAAGCTAATATGGGGTTTACATTGGGGGGAAAGGGATTGTTAGCAATGGAGTTTGACAGCCCCTTTGCTAGCAATATGCCTTATTAGGTCGACCTCCACGTGATTTCCCCTGGAAACCATCGTGAACAATTCTTGTTGAATTCATCACGATGGGCTAACTGACCTGCTTCATCCTCACCTATCTATCATCCTTCACTGGTGCCACGCCGGTGTATACCGATAGCGCCGGTGGGGTTACCATTCCATTATCATCCATTTAAAAAAAAATATGGGGTTTACAACTGACGAAGTTATGAGGTAACAAATACAATATATATATATATATATATAAACATATAACATACAAGTCCGTTGAAAATACTACAGATGCATAGAGAATTTTATTTTTACAGGAGCTGTTTCAAAATAAAAGATGTGCATGTAACGTGTGCATTTTACTTACTGGTTCCGTGCAAAACATTATGAGGTCACTGTTTTTGTACAATTATAAAATTGACTTGTTATTTAAAATTATTATCTATGAATAATATTGTAGAATGTAGGTGACATAATCACTATTATGATGATGATGATGTGGTCATGATGCATTGATGTGGTCACATACCTATATATATATATATATATATATATATATATATATATATGAATGTCAACGGAATTACTACAATCCTTTTATTTTATTTTTTTTTTTCATAAAAGTAAATATTAAGTTTCCAATACTAACTAATTTGACTTGCTATTTAAGAATAAAACAAATGTATAAGTAAACAATTTATATAATTTTGATAAGAGGAGAGACTTTGTACAAAAGTCGATTGCTTGGGTACCTCTGTCCCATACCATTCGTGTTTCAACCGTAAAGCAGTTGTGTGTGCATGGCTGTGTTTCGATTTGAAGGGTGGGATATGGCGTGAATTTACTAGGTACAGAGGAATAACACCTGAGTCCTCAGGAATGGCAACGCATGGGGAGTATCATGGGCGAAACAGTATAGGTACTCTGTTATGTCCATGGTACTGCTCATGTCTATAGACAACGGTTACCACTTTTCATCAGGTGGGCCGTCAGCTTGTTTGCCATTCTAAGTTGCATAAAAAAAAAAGCTTGAAATCAACTTCTTTTCGTGCAAGTGAACATTGATAAAGTTAACTCACTTTACAAATACAAATAATTAACATAATAGAATAATTTCAACAAATGCACGCCATTACTATAAACCAGGGGTATATTAAATAGATTTGTAGCAAACAATAAGACATGTTAAAACGTAAAAGACTTTTGTTCCAAATTGTTCTTATTCAAGTTTATAATGAATGCTTGAATACAATGAGTGAATGTATGGAAATGTATTTCAATAAACCATAACACTTACATATACTTGTATTATAAATAATAACAACATAAAAATAAATAAATAAAATATAGAAAAAAAGTTTACATTTATATATAAAGAGTAGTAGAAATCAGTCAGTGTTATGGTAAAGAAATGGTAAAGGATGCTAATTCAGCTTAAGGTTCCTGCAAAAGCAGAAACGCTGATTTTCAATTAGCACCTCATCACCTAGCCCGGTCCATCGAGATCATGAATAAGTAACACAATACACAAACATGCGCATAGCAAAAAGGAAAAAAAACAAAAATATCAGTAAACAAAGAAAGACGAGAACAAAAAAGTTTTCGAAAAACAGGAACAAAAACAGTTTCCGACCCTAGTAATGTGTAAAATAAAACAAGTATCCAATATAAATAATAATAAATCCAGTAAAAATAAATCCAGTAGCAGTAAATGTATGAAAACTCTGTCGTTCCCTTTAAACACATGTAATTATATAAAATATTAGACATAAAATAAATCAGCATAAAGATATAATAATCCTATTATAATTGAATGATTTTTTTATAACACAGGGGGCAAACGAGCATGCGGCTCACCCGATGGTAAATGACTACCGCCACCCGTGCCCTTACAAGCAACACCAGAGGCATTGCAGATATACTATATATATATATATATATATATATATATATATATATATATATATATATATATATATATATATATATATATATATATAATAATATTATGAATGCCAAAGTTTGTAACCATAGACGGATGTTTTTTTTTTTAATGGGTGATAATGGAATGGTATCCCCACCCGCGCTATCGGTATACACCGGCGGGGCACCAGTGAAGAATGATAGATGAGGATGAAGCAGGTCAGTTAGCCCATCGTGACGAATTCAACAAGAATTGTTCACGATGGTTTCCAGGAGGAACCACGTGGAGGTCGACCTAATAGCGCATATTGCTAGCAATGGGGCTGTCAAACTCCATTGCTAACAATCCCTTTCGCCCCATAGACGGATGTTTATTACTCTTTCACGCAAGAACTAGTGAACACATTTGAACGAAATTAACTTAATAGATAGTTTTTATATTATCTCACGTGGGTAAAGTCGCGAGATACAACTAGTAAGCGATAAATGCATTCTGATTTTAAATAGGCCCTAAGACGTGTCACGAGTTACGACGAGTTTGCTACGTCCAATACTTGATTGATAGCTCGATATATCCCCACCCCTCCCCCACCCTTCGTACAAGTCGCTATCTCCTCGTTACACCACACCACGCACCACAACTAAAGAGGTCTATAGACGATCAAGCAGCTTGAATAAAGCATGTCGATTTTAGCGCATATGTCCTTGGTATAAGATTGATACCAAATTGTATTTTGTACTAGTTGTAACCCGTAACTTTACGCGCTTCTACGCGTTAATCAGAACTTAATATCCTATACGTTAATTTAGAATATAACTCACTCGTGTAACAAAATTTCATTCAAGACATGACAACAGACACACAGACAGAACATGATATGACAGTGAATTTTCAGCGTACAGAGGAATAACATCTGAATCTTCAGGAATAGCAACGTATGGGGGGTATCATGGGCGAAACAGTATACTCTGTTATGTCCATGTTACTGCTCACGTCTATAGGCGACGGTTACCACTTTCCATCAGGTGGGCCGTCAACTTATTTGCCATTCTAAATTGTTTAAAAAAATTGTAGTTTTTGCGTGAAATAGTCATAAACATTCATCTGTTTTTACAAACTTTCACATTTATAATATTAACAGGATATGATGCGAATAACTTCTTTTTGAATTGACGAAACACAATAAGATTTTAAATTTGCATTCACGTCCACTATATCGATAGTGGAAACCTAGATGCTTTTCCATACAACTGTACACTTTCATTTTCACCCCTACAGTAAAATCGTATGATAACATACGAATATAATTCTGCAGTAAATTAAAAAAAAAACTTTACCACAATTTATAGATTATAAAAAACAAATGTAAGTTACCTGATGTATCCTTGAAGCAGTTTAATAATGCAACTTTAACGTACGTTGATTCAAGCCGCTTGATCGTCTGCGGACCTCTTAAGGCACGACTGATTTAAAGCTATTACGCGCTCGTGAAATGCGGGCGGATATGTATTGACAGTGAATGTAATTAAATTAACAAACATTAAGGCTGAATCGGTAAATGTCCTACCTTCAGACGTATATAAATGAATTTTAAAAAGTTAAAGAGTTCTTAATTCTTCATGTTACCTTTTTTTTGCTATTATTTCAGCCGTTAACTGTCTACTGCTGGGGGAAAGGGATTGTTAGACTAAGAATCCCATTGCTAGCAATATACTTAACCAGGTCGACCTGGAACCGCGAGGAGGTCGACCTGCAAGCAATC